CCAGTTTGAACCTCAGCTAACTGGCTGACTGGCAACTGTGTAACTATTGAAAAAGGACCCACCAAACAATCAACTGTGTCCACATCTGCTTGAACAACTTCTAAACCCAAGCTGGGCTACTCTCCTCCCAGTCTAGCATCAACTGGTACAGGTGCCTCTGCACATCTGTGTGACTTGCTGCATCTCGATCAGCTCCTTAATTAGCTTGTGGCAAACTGCAAAACTGCTGCAAAACTGCAAAGCTAGTTGTGCTGAAATTGAAAACTTGCATGAAAAGCTACAAAGCTTTGCTAATGACATGCACAACTGCTCATCTCAAGCCAGACCAACTTGGTGGCACTGATCCAGCAGCTGTCCATCACTGTTGACAACTTTGAGTTCATCTCTCTCAAGATCTGCATGATGTAGGCTATGCTTGCCGCTAGCATCACCTAATTAGTGGCTTTGCAGTGGTCTAACAAATAAACACTCAAACTGTTGACCAACTAAAGCTGAAAAAACCAGCTAAATTACACCAAGCAGCCATTCCAATGTCCAACTGTGCCACCACCAGTGCCCCCTTGGACATGACAACTGTGCGAGCATCTCCTGGGCTGCAGGGGGTTGGTCAATCTTTCTCAAACTTTCCCAAACTTTCCCAAAGAGAAGCTAAGTCAAGCTGGGGCTCTGTTGCTGAAAAACCCAACTGCCAGAGCTACAAGCCCAACTGCCACCTGTGTCCTCTTAGCCTTCATCTTGCTGATCAGCCCTGCCAGCCTGCTCATCTCTGCAACCTGAGATTGTCAACTGAACCCAAACAAATGCATGAAATCAGTGTAATTAACTCATGCTGAAAAGAAAACTAACCACCAACTGCTGTGGAAGCCCAGCAGCTATGCAAAGCTTGAAGCTGAAGCACAACTTGCTTGGAGAGCTGACAGCTGCTCCAAGCTCGCTTTTTCATGCTGGCTAATTCCCTCATGCACAACTGCCTCAAACTCCCACCAACCCTCTCTCAAGCTGGCCAAACTCCAGCTGGCCAAAGCAAACCTGCCTCAAACTCCTAGCAACCCTCTCTCAAGCTGGCCAATGACCTCATGCAAACCTGCCTCAAACTCCTACTAACCCTGCAGCTTTTGCCCAGCTCTGCTTCCTTTTTTGCTCTCAGCAGCTGGCTTCTAGCTGGCTGCTACTGGCAGCTCCCTGCTAGGCTTCAGCCACCTCCTTGTGATCTTTCTTTTCATCCACCTCTCCTTCAGGCTCTTCTTTTCCTTCAGGTTCTTCTTTTAGCACATCTTCCAACGGTTCTTCCACCTTGTCTTTGGCTGGTTCTTCTACTTTCTCTTGTATCTTCTCTCCTCCCTCTCCCTTTGAATCTTGCAGGTGCAACTTCTCTTTTTCTCTGGAAACATCTCACTGAGATCTGATCCTACAGGGAGCTTTGCAACACCTATTTACCTGCAAACCTTACCTGTTGCATTGCTACCTTCCTTTTTGCCACTGTGGCTGCTGAAGTCTCCAAACCTCCTGCCCCCACCCAGCCAGCCAAGGAAGAGGCAAGAGAGAAAGAGATGAGAGAAGGAAGAAGGAAAGGAACAACTAAATCAAATGGAAACTCAAGTCTACCAATACTAAATCAAATGGAAACTCAAGTCTACCAATACTAAATCAAATGGAAACTCAGTTCCAAATCTCAAAAGGAAGCTCCAGCAATACTAAATCAATTTGAAACTCAGTTCCAAATCTCAAAAGGAAGCTCCAGCAATACTAAATCAATTTGAAACTCAAGTCTGCCAATACTAAATCTGATGGAAACTCACCTCAACATGAACACACCAAATGCATTTTCTTTTACTTCCAACACACACAAAGGAAAGGACCTTATCACCTTATATTTTGGGAGATATGTCATGGCTATTACAGAAAGGTGATAAGGATAAAGGAATGGGAAGTGAATGGACATTCTCTTTCTCTTTTCCCACTCTTTTCCCACTCTGGAGCTGAGGATGAAGGCAGGCTCTTTTCTTTACCAACCAATTGTAGAGCCTGGACACCTTCCTTTCCATTCTATTTCCTTTCCCCATCGTTAGGGGGGGGGGGGGGGCTCCCCTTTACTAATCCTTATTTGACATTACAGACGTAGTATGCGGAGCGTGCTCGCGGAGCTGAGGCTGGAAAATCGCAACTTTTAAGTACAAACGTAGTACGCGGAGCACACCCCCGCAGCTCCGGCTGGAAAATCGTGCAAAAATAGTACGCGAAGTACATTCCCACAGCTCCGGCAGCACTTGCGCAGAGCAACTTGCGCAGAGTCACTCGCGCAGAGCAACTTGCGCAGAGCAACTTGCACAGAGCAATTGCACAAAGCACTTGCGCAGAGCAACTTGCACCGTTTTTCCACCGTTCCAGCAGCATTGCTCCTTGGACTTGCCCTTGCCCTTGTCCTGCGCCTTGCTCTTGCCTTTGCTTTTGCCCTTCTCATCCCTGGACTTGCCCTTGACCTTAAAGTCGTTGTAGCCTTGTCCCTTCTTGGACTTACCCTTGCCGTACTTGCCCTTTCCGTCCTTTCTTTTGCCCTTCTTGCCCTTCTGGTTGGAGGAGCCGCCGATGTAGTCCACATCCATTGGGGTCGGACCCCCCATGCTTGTCTGACTGGGCAAGCCAAGCACGTTTTCTGTGCTCCACTTCGTAGTGATCGCCTCGTATTGATCGATCCTTCCCTTCAGCGACTCAAACGTCGTCTCCTCGCTCACCATCATCTGCAGTTGCGTCCTCACACCAACAGGATCCAACAGGGCAGGCGGAAAGGATTGATGCAACCTTCAAGTCCTCAGGGTACACCTGCGATGAGACCCTCTCGTACTCCCTGACCAGGGCTTCGTAGGCCGGGAGCTGCTCCATGATGGACCTGTTCGGGGCGAAGGTGATCCTCGACAGTTGGGTCATCAAAGCCAATGCCCTCTGCCTTGTGCTCGGCTGCATGTCTCTCAGCAGCAGCCTCCATGCTTCGTAGCCGTTCTCTTCCGGCGTGTGCTTGATGGGCTTGAGCGCCCGGCCCCGTAAATACGAAGCCAGCACTCCGAAGAGCCTCAAGCTCCTCACTTTTCTCGCATCACTCAGCTCGTTCCAGTCGATCGCTTCCTCAGCGTTCTGGGCCACCCGCTTCATGTCCAGGTGCATCTCTGGGTCCACCGCTTTGGCCCAGTTCTCCAACGTGAACTTCCAGTCCTCCCATTGCTTCAACTCGCTTTCGCGGGTCTCGGCCTTGAAGACTTCTGGCCCTTTGACATTCCGGGCCCACTGATTCTGCTCCTGGCTGCGGGTCAGGCCGTCCAGCACCTCTCTGATTTGCTGTAGCTGCTCAGCCATCTTGCCGTAGGTCCACTTTATGACCTCCAGAAAGATCCGCAAATAGACCTTCTTCACCTCCGTGTAACCCGCCTCGTACCTGTACTTCTCCAGGCCACTCAGGGCGTCCAGGTCACAGCAAACTCGCGTTGGCCGCGCTTCACTCTCCACCGACCATAAAAATCGAATTGAGGCCCACCGATGTTGACCGGAGACAGCTCAGACTCTCCCGAGCTCCCCGCGACCGTGCCCAGCAGCAGGAGGATCGGTAGCCAGTGCACTTTTGTTCTCTTTGTGGTCGAGGTCCCTGATCGGGCCGTCGTGGTTCTCCTTGGCCGGGCTGCCTACCACAGGGTAGGACTTACAGCACCGGCTCCGCTACCATGTCGAGCGAATGGCAGCTCTTTTCCTGTGGCAATTAGAGCCTCCGATTGCGGTGCATGTACATCATGCTTTGCATGCGGATTTGACTGAACACACGAACAATTCCCACAGAGTTGCGAGGCGTATCAAAAGCAACCTGAGAAGCATCGTTCTTGCATGAACTTGCCGAGCTGGATTTCACCAGTCACCAAACCAAAGGTATGGAGCGACAGCTCATCTAGCAAAAAAAGCCGTTCTGGAGCCAAGTTGAGGCACTTGGAAGTGTGTGAATTCTACGCGCAGGGGGCTGTACTTGGATCGGCTGCGGCGTTGCTAGGCTGTATGAGTTTTAAGTAGAACTATAAGGTGACTACTAAACGCATGTTATATGTCTGCTAGCTGCCTCTTAAGTAGCTATACTGTGGGTACTTGCTTGTACAAGCATACAATGTCTCCTTAACATTTAATTAACTATGATAAACAACAGAATGATTTACGTTAGCTTACAGATGGCTAGGCTAATGGTTAGCTAAGTGCGCTAGTCCGCTTGCCACATGCAAGCACATGAACTTAAGCTTATTTTCACTCCAAGAAAATCATAAATGTTGTACAGGCAGGCCGTGAACACTTTGGAGCAAACAGTTTCTTGGACACCCAAGCGGCACAGCGTGTCTCATTACTGCCAGGAGCATTTTTCACAGTTTTCCTCAGTCGATGTGGATAAAGAAGCCATGCGTGGCTAAATGTTCCACGTTCAGCTTTGTCTCGAAATGCGTCCATGACCAAGTGTGGCTTGAGACTCTTGGAAGGCTGGCTTGCAAACAGCCTTATACACTTGTCCTGTCAGCATGAGTGGCTGCGCGCATGCATTTGGCTGACTGTGCTATTTGCAGCCATTGGATGCCTGTTGTTTGCTCACTTTTGGTTCTTCACGGATATATATTTTAGCCTCAAAGGCTTTTAAGACAGACTGATAGCCTTTGAAGGCACGGTGTTCTCTTTCCAAAGTATTGGTAGCATCTCACATGTTCATGTCAGCCATAAACATGTGTGCTGTTATTTGGCCTTGCAAGTTGCCAGCCTGGCATAGGCTCATGCGAGCGCAGCCTGGGTAGGCTCATGTAAAAGTTGTACGTTGCAACGTTTAATCACACCCTCCAGCTGGCTGCAAGATTTTGCTCGCCCTGTTGTGTGCATCTCGGGTCATAATAGATCAGTGGTCACCACGCATGCCATGCAATCCACGCACATGCAGGCAGAGGTTGTGGCAACTTTGCAGTGAGCTTTGCTCACATTCCCCTGTCCGAGCCATGGACAGCTCAGTTGCTTCTGAGTTGAAGAAGTTGAAAGAGGATGAAAAGCTAGAATTGAATGTCAAAGTGTCAAAGATCATGCATAGCCTCATGCAGCAGATGCACCTGCACTGTGACCAGGTGCTGGTGCACCCTCAAAACAGAGCTGGCACTATGCTTGTTTTTGGAGAAGTCCATCGCAAGGGCAACATGATGCTCAAGGCCGGCGTAGATCTATCAAAGCTGGACAGCTGCATCTGCTTTGAGACAGCTGCAGACGCCGGCCAGCGAAGCCAGCAACTGCAAGCCAACATGGATTTGGTTGCTCAGAGCCAGGGCAAGTTGGCCCCTGTGACAGGCGCAGAAAGATACTTGTCTGTGTGTCAGCTTTTGCAAGTCGGTTTTGCATTGCTGCGGCACAGAAGACCCAGACCTGTTGAAGTCTTGCCCCAACGGGCATTTGAGCTTGGATGCCTTGCTGTCCAACAGCTCCTTGGCTGTGGAAAGCCACCCTTTCACACAGATGGTCAAGCGTGGCTGGGCTTGGAAGGTCATCAAGCAAGAGGTTGAGGCGCAGTTCAGTGACTTGCCAGCTTTGATCCAGCAAGCTCAGAACTCAGGGCACGCGCTGGCGTCTCAGATCACCGAGATGGAGGCTGCAATGCAGATTGCTTTTTGGTACAAGCAATGCAAAGATTTGAATCAAGCGGTTTCCATGACTTTGGCAAGCCAGCCAATGTGTGCCCACTACCTGGACAGCATCGCGCATTATGTGAAGAACTACGCTGGAGGCCCAAGCTTCCCGGTCATCCACGTGTTGGATTGCATTTGTTACTTGCCTGAATTCTTGAACATTTTTCATGCTTCGATACAGGTGTCGTACTAAGCAATGTATGGAATGTTGGACATGTTGCCACTGCAGGCAAGCTATACGGCTCCAAGCTCATGCTCGGCCAGGAGTTCATGGAGCACATCAGCAACATCGACTGGAAGGACAAGCAGACTACCTTCCCCTGGGTCAGGGCTGGATGCATTGCTGCCAGCTTGACCAGCCCCAAGGCTGTCGACAGCATTGGCAGGATGATTGTGAAAACCGATCTCGACAAGCTTCGACAGCAAGGCATCAGGGCAGAGCTCAGGTCTGCTGAGGGTCTGTGTGACCTGGCATGGTCTTCCTTGCAGAAAGCTGGCTTGGCGTCGCAAAATGCCGGAATTACCTTGATGGGTCGATATTTGGTGCGCACAGCCCTGTTGCTTTGCAACAAGTCCGGCAAGGGTAAGGAAAAGCATGTCTATGAGAGCATGAGTGACATCAATTCTGCTTTCCTTGCAGAGCTTGCAGCAATGCAGTCTGGGAGCGCTAGCAGCACAGCTGCTGCATCTGCTCCTTCTAATGTGGCCGAGGATGGACTTGTCGCCCTGCAGGCCTGTCCGCGCATCAAACACCGTTGGTTTGCTTTGAGCTTGAAATGGCGGCTTTGTGAATGCCAGTCGAAAACCGCAGTTTAGTAGTCTTGGCAGCCTCAGTTTAGAAAGCCTGCCTTGACAAGCTTGTGCTTGATGGCCACAAACACACCATTCAAATCACAAACAGTTCAGTCAGCCTTGCAGGCCCATTTGAAGAAGCCAGCCTCGAAGGCTCACGGCGATATCACGAAAAGCGCTTAGCCTGGCAAGGCTCATGAATCAATCGTTGGCTTTGCGTTGCGTGCGCTCGTGAAAGCTTGACAGGATACCAGCAATGCTGTCTGCATTGCCCTGAAGCTGAACCGCCACATTGAAGTAGGCAAGCAGTACATCAACAAGGACTTTCCCAGCAAGATCTTCAAGTTCCTGGAAATGAAGGACTCCACCGGCAAGTTCATGCACCAGCCTTTGTTTGGGCCTCAAGAAGTGCTTGAAGTTGAACATGACCACTTGAAGCACTGGAAGGCCACCAATGCGAAAGAGCCGGTTCTCGTCGAGCAAAGCCTTCTTGACAGCATGAAAGGCTGTCACAACGGGCACGTGGACTTGGAGCTCGAAAAGCTCGCCGCTCAAAAGGTTGTCTATGACGCTTTCATGGAGATTCTCAGGCTGCATTTAGGTGCATTTGTAGCACTGCTTTGTCCTTGCCAGAATCACACTCCACCTCTTGAGAAGCAAATAGCACTCCTGAGGCTTGGTGACCCAGATCTCAAGGTCACCACTGCTGGCCAGCTGTATGCTAGCCGGACCTTCAAGAAGGGCGAGTTGAAGCTTCTTGCCTGTGGCCTCATCCAGCCACTGGAAGAATCCAAGCTTGGCAAAGCCACCTGCGTTTTATCTGCACCAAAGCAGCCTGAGCCGTGTGTCTTCACTATAGTGCCAGGCAGGCATGATTTCAAGGCTGGCTGTGGCATGTTTGTCCCATTCTTTTTGCTGAAAAGCGCAAAGGAAGGTGGCAACATGCAGGCTTCTGTTCATAAGAGTGCAGGCTATGGCATTCCAATGTACAGGAACACGGCCCTTTTGCACAAAGGCGAGGAGCTCATTATAGATACGCAAGTGGAGCAGGCCTCCAGTAGACCCTCTAAGAGGGCAAAGAAGTGAGCTGCGCCTTAGCATATATACCCTCCCATATCTCAGGCCGCAAGTGAAAACTGCATTTGCTAGTTGCGCTGACCCGCTGGCAGGGGTCATCTGAGCTCCATTTGGCAAACCATACGTTTCGGTAGCAGCCCATCACGGTTGGCGGGCTCATGCCTGTCATCATCCTTTTGACGCATAGCGTTTCACTTTGCACAAGTTGTGGGGATAGCCTACGCAGGCTCCTGTAGAGTTAGACACGCGCAGAAGTCTTGTGTTTATGCTGAGTCCTCTACAAACTCTCATGTGCTCATCAGATGTTCATATTCTTGATATAGCCTCCAGAGGCTCACTCATTTCCACGCCAGCTCATACCAACATGTTTCCCACGTGTCTTGGCCAGCCAGTGTGTGTGCGCTGGGCAATGCGTGCTCAGCCTTGCATAAGGCTCACTTGGTCTTGAGCCAGCGCAGGATGTGTTATTTATTTAGTTTTGTGCTTTGTGGCCTTTGCCATTTTCAAGGTAAGCTAGTGCTGTGAAGCCATGGAGATTACCCACCAGCTTGTCATGTCTTTTGATGGAAGCAAGCGAGTTCCAGTGCCAGATTCCTTGCTGCAATCCCACGATGGGAGTCAGTGGCTAAAGCTACGACCTACTTCGCGAGAGATTCTCAAGCTTGCTGCAGGTAAGAACCACGGCGTGGCCAAGAATGTGAGCCTCAGCAATTCTCAAAGGCTGGCTGAGCTCAAGCACCTTCGGCTTGAAGCAATGGTCGCCTTGATGGACAAACAAAAAGACGGAGAGGATGAAGCACGCCAGCCTGATCTTTTTGAAGAGGGCAGCCAGCCCAAGGCTCCAAAGAAGTTGAAGCTTGCGCATGATGGCCCTCAGTTCGTGAGCATTGCAGTGGGCGGTACACCTGTGGATGTGCTACTTGCAAGCAGCAGGCCTCAACTCTCAGATCTGGCTGTCAGAGTGGATCCCGAAGCTCTCGGCGCCGTGTTCCGATATCTGCAAGAAGATATGGCAGCGCCGCCTGGCCCAAGATCTTACAAACGGTCTGGCAATTTCCGCAAGCCCGCAGGGACTGAGGATGATGAAGACCAATCCGACTAGCGCCATGGATTTGCACTGCTAACACAGGGCTTTGCCGTCGCATGTGCCTTGCATGGAGATTCAGCCTATAGCAGGCTCATGAGTAAACAAACTAGTGTAGAGCGTTCCTTTGTTTAAGCCTTTAAAGGTTCATGGTGGTATTCTTGTGTTTGCGGAAGCCTGGCCAGGCTCATGCCACACACTGACTGGCGTGTTGTAGCCTTGCGTGTTGTAGCCTCCGCAGGCTCACGTCACCAAGCTCAGGCGAAATCGTAACATGTCTGCGCAGAACTTGCATGATGGCGCATTTCTTTCCTGCGCCACCCTGACACAAAATGCGGTATCCAGCCTTATATAGGCTCAAGATGGCGAAGAGAAAGGGCCCAGATGAGGATGTAGAGGCCTGGTTTTTGCTCACACACTGGTATTGATACTGCTTCTGCTTTACCTTTTGTTTTCTGATTTGCGCAGGAGCCTCCATGGTGGAGCCTCAAGAAGCGGCCAGCCCAACGGGGCTCTGAAGATGAGCTGCCGGCCGACCGGGAGGAGGCGATCTCCAGAGTCTGTAACAGCAAAAAAAACGGCATTGAAATCCTAAGCAAGACAATTCCAAAAATGCGCTTGGCCTGCTTTTTGAGCCTCTCTAGCTATCCTTTCAAGGATCATGCTTATTTGTTCTTTCTTAGACCCTTGGCTAATCTCCCATGCAAGGATCACGCGTCGCCCGTCTTTTTTTTGTACCCTTGCTAGCCTTGAAAGCTCATGCGCAGGGCGCCGTTGTTTATGATTCCTTGTTATAACATATAGTCTACCGAGACTCACACGTTCTGCATGGTTTTCAATTTTAGCTTGAATGGCTCATGCATTTTGCACTGGTGTTTCTCCAACCCCCATCAGCCTTCAAAGGCTCATGCCTCTTGTGCTCTTCTTTCCGAATCCGTGGTAGCCCTCAACTGCTCATGCGTCTGGCGCACGGCGTTTTTTAATCCTTGGTAGCCTTGAAAGGCTCGTGCGTCTTGTGCTGTTGTTTGTTCTACCACTGCTAGCCTTCAAAGGCTCATGCTTGTGGCTCCACTGCCTTTCTGATTTCCTTCAAGCCTTCGAATACTTACGCATCAAGTCCTGTTGGTTGTTTCACACATGCAATTTTCTCATGGTCTGGCAAAGACATATGACAGGACACAGCGCCTGCTGACTGGAGATGGGATGACTGGAAATCGGAAGACTGGTCAGGCTGGGATCCGCACCAGCAGGACCAGCAGCAACAGCAGCAGCAGCAGCAGGAAGCCAACTGGCACAAGTCCTACATGGACCAGCTGGTGGCCGCTGAAGGGCCTGAAGAGGAGGAGGCAGATTTGTTTGTTTTTTTCGCGATAAGAGAACATGTGTTTGCCACCTTCAATTCCTCACCCCCAGTACCAAGACGAATGTGTATCAGGCTTTACTCTTGCAGTCCGAGTCTTAATGCGGATGCTTCTTTCACCCTCCACGATAGCCTTGTAAGGCTCACCACAAGTTTCAGCCTCTGGCAGGCTCACGCACACTCGCAGACATGTTTCAGTTTATATAGTGTCACCTCATACACACACACGCACACACACACACACCAGCTTGTCCTTGCGCTGGTCTGACGCCGATGCCCTGCAGGTGACGCTTGACCCAGATATGCCTGTTGGCGCTGGAGGGGGCACCTCAAGCAGATCAGCCGCACAGGAGCAGCGCTGGTATGCCTTTGCGTGACCACATACTGTGTTCGACACGGTATTTTATTTGTTCCAGCTACATCTGGACGGCCTGTTCAAGGCTCATGGTGTATTGCTTCACTTCCATAGTAGCTCAGCCTTTTCAAAGCTCATGGTGTATTGCTTCCTTTCCACAGTAGCTCAGCCCTTCCAAATCGTATGGTGTATTTTTTCTTCCAGTAGTA